CACTTTTCTATCCAAAATTTATGTATTTAGTTTTGATGTTATATTTATTATTCTCATCGGATTTTGTCAAATGTCTTATCGTTTGTAGTTGTAAATCTTATTTTTTCTGTTGTATTGGTGTGTTATGGTAAAGATAATTAATCACCCAGTTCATTAATTAGATTTTAGTTTGGGTCAACAAAAATTTATACGATATATTTGGTTTACAGTTTGATTTAGAAGAAACACCGACATAGCTAGATAATACTATTAATTATCTAATTACTACCACATTTTATATTAATTAGTATTGTAATTTTCATTGTTATTAATAAATGTTATATGAGTATTATAAACCAAATCTTGAATTCTATCCTAATTCTATCCTATTTTGGGAAAATTTCAGAAATTCAAATGTGACGTCACTTTGTTTGCGTTGATCTCTTTGGCGAACTCGGCTGTGAATTTTTATGTGCTGGTTTATGTTGTGTTATGTATCCGTTTTTATTATGTAGTTAGTCACAACTTCGGTGTTTTCATGTATATCTATTATATAGTAATTTTCATAAATTTACTGTTTGCAAAAGTATGAATTATTCTAAATACTAAGGATTTTCTTATCCCAGACATATAACCTTAGCCGTATTTGGCACAACTTTTTGGAACTTTTGGTCCTCAATGCTCTTTAACTTTGTGCTTGTTTTGGCTTTCGAACTTTTTTTATCTGAGCGTCACTGGTTAGTCTTGTGTGGACGAAACGCGCGTCTTGCGTATTAAATTTTAAACCTGGTACCTTTTGTTAGCTATTAATCTTATGTTTCTCTGTCCTATATGTTCTCCCATTTATTTGTATTGTAGTCCTGTCATGTAATGTTGTCATTTTAATGTTATATTTAACATTGCCATAAAAGCGGGAGGTTTGGCTAGCCACAAAATCAGGTTCAACCCACCATTTTTTTCTGAAAATGTCCTGTACCAAGTCAGGAAAATGGCCATTGTTATATTAAAGTTCTTTTCTGGGTGTGTTACATTTTAATGTTGTGTTTCCGTTGTGTCGTAGTTCTCTTCTTATATTTGATGTGTTTCCCTCAGTTTTAGTTTGTAACCCGGATTTGTTTTTTTTTTTTCTCAATCGATTTATGAATTTCGAACAGCGGTATACTACTGTTGCCTTTATTTCCTACTGTGAGTAAAATATTTAGGTCCGTTTCCTGGAAGTTGTTGCTCGATTGTTTGTTAAAGGTATTGTAACGGGTTTTAACTTGAGAATACAAAATTTTCATAGAAGGTATGATAAGCTTTTTTTTTTGTCCCTTAAATTCAAACAAAAATATCATTTAACTACATAATAAATCCCTTCAGACATTTTTCTCACATTAGTTTTTATTTTTGCTGTTTTGTCTTACAATTGGCTTTAAGATGGTAAAAAATACTACATATAGATAACTCTGTAAACATCAGCTGAACGTATTAATCACGTCCTATTGTTAAGGAAATATTAAGCTTCTCAATGATCAAACTTAGTGTTTATCAAACTGCTATACATCCAATGAAATTTTTCCGATAAAGTGTGTGGTTCAAATTTTTTTAGAATTTTAATATTTTTGTCAAAGGGTCAAAGTGAATATTTTGTCAAAAATCTATGAAAATTAAACGAGCTAAATTAATTTTAGTCAAGGTGTTTGGTACCACCTTAAGGCCTACACATGTCTTGCATTTAGTCAAAAACTGCTAAATCCACCAAATAGCCTCATTGTGAATCTTGTCATTTAAATTCATTAGATATGAGCCAAGGCTAAATCCGAACAGATATTTACTGTAGGATGTATTTTACAAAGATGTTAATGTGTATAAAATGTCATGTTTAGTTAGGCCTTGACTCATCTGTATTTTCACAAAAACTTTGAGAACAATTGACAATATTAGATCAAAATCGATATCAATATGCCAATTTCAACATGATTATAACATCAAAGGTGAACATTTATCACAGGGGACATTCCTGCACTAATAATCCTGTTCAATTATTGATTGAATAAACATTATTTTGGAAGGCTTGAATGTTTTTGCTTTTTTGTAATCATAGGAGCAAAATAATGGCTCTTATCATACCTTCTTCTTTGTGATCTTCTTGAAAAAAATAAACAGGAAACAGAATCGGCGTGTACGTAAAAATATCTCAGCTAATTTTAGTTTGACGTGAAATATATTGTTGTTGTTTCTTAATTACATTTAAAATGTGTCGTCCTTGGAGTAGGCTTACATTCAAAATCTTGATAATCCAGTCTTAAAAAACTAATAGCATTTATTGTCGAAATAAAATAAAACTATACAGATGTTTCAGTAAAAGCTTACACATTGTTTCACTCATTTGTATTTATATGGAAAAATCCATGTTTGGTAAGGAAACCTTCAGATTATTCGAATCAAGAACTTGTAAAACAAATGTTACAAAATGTATAATGATTCTATGACAGATTCAATGAAATCCTTGCTGTGGTTTAAGAGATGTGAACAGTTGTGGATACAAGATGCATATATACCTTTGTAGAAACCCATAAGTCTATTATTTGCTATGAAAAGCCTCAAAACGTTTTTTGAATAGAAAATGTTGCCTAATGTGTACAATGGAAATATGTTAAAAAGATTTTTGTTTATTTTGGGTGTTTTATTAGAATGAGTCAGTGGAGTATCAGCCTGATGTATATATAAGATAACTACCCTTTTATAGATGTGTTTTAGCGTCCACCAGCAGCGGTATTGACCCAACAAATAAAATAAAATATAATTCATATAAAAGAGAGAACAAATAGAAACAGAGCATATGAAAGCATTCAGCCACTAAAAAGATTGTGCAAATATTATAAGAAATTCCAATTGATAACACTGGTATATGACGATACATACTTCTACAAGTTGGTTAATTAATGAGTATATAGTGGTGTTAGTAACAAATAGAATAGGTAACTCAAAGAAGCTAACGTAATATTTCATATTCAGAACGAATACTGATTTTGTTCTTATGCTTTATCTTGCTTTTTTATATGTATCCAATTAACTTTTCTTTTTCAAACTGTTTATAACGTAGTATTCTGGGAAGCAAATTTACTTAGTCGGGAGGCAACTCTTTAGAGAAAGAGAAATGATGTTTTTTTTTCAATTGTGTTCGTGTGAAGATAGGTTCTCATGAAAAAATGTGAATTTATTTTACTCTATTTGTACCGACACATAGTACTATTTTACGTGGCCAAAAAAAAGCACAAATGCGCTTAATATGAACTATATCATACATTAATAATTAATTTCTCAGAGCTTATTTTCATGAGCCCTGTATATCATATCATTCCGGGGGCCAGTTTCACGAAGCTATCCTAAGACCTGTCATAAGATATATCTTAGGACATGTCTTATGGACCTCTTTTGACTATCTTAGGACATATCTCAGACCTCGCCTCGAATGTGTCTTAGGATGATCATAGCAAAAATATCCTAAACCTGTCGCAAGTTCTTTAAATTTTTAAATATTAACATGGATTTATGGAAAAAATCATGTAAATATAGTATGTGTTTCCCATAAATTACTAAACCGTATTGATTAATATTCCATAATTAGATAATTTGCAAAATAAATATGAAAAGTAACTGTAATTTATATAAATAATCTATTAATAATACACCAATATATAAATTCAAATACAAAATTGAAAATAAAACAAAATTATGACTTTTTTGTTTTGTACAAGTGAGTTGAATTCAATTTGTCACTGTTTGGGTTATAATAAAGTTAAAGGATAAAATCGTGAATTCTTGCTATAAATAAATCGAACGTTCATTGTTGATAAATCAGTTTGATAATCCGTCAACCTATTAAGATTTAGTTATGAGCAGGAAAAGGATATTAGATGATGATTAGATAATTTGCAAAATTAATATAAAAAATAAGTGTGATTTATATCTGTTTTTTAACTGATGGCTATCCTAAGACCATCATAAGACACCTCTCGTGTAGTCCTAACTTTATGACCAAGTTTAAGAGATGTCCTAAGTTAGGACCACTTTGTGAAACCCACTTAGGACTTAGTAATGTCGTAAAGCCATCCTAAGACATGTCTTAGTCCTAAGACAGCTTTGTGAAACTGGCCCCCGATTTCTTAGTATATTTCAGCAGTTTGATTATAGTTAATATGCATTTATACAATGAATGGTTATATGTGTTATTTCTACCCATAGAATGGAGTACATTGGTAAATGGAACTTGTTAATATGCATTTCTACAATTTATGGTTATATGTGTTATTTCTACCCATAGAATGGAGTGCGTAGGTAAATGAAACTTGTTAATATCGATTCTACAATTTATGGTTAAATGTGTTATTTCTACCCATAGAATGGAGTGCGTAGGTAAATTGAACTTGTTAATATGCATTTCTACAATTTATGGTTATATGTGTTATTTCTACCCATAGAATGGAGTGCATTGGTAAATGGAACTTGTTAATATGCATTTCTACAATTCGTAGTTATATGTGTTATTTCTATCCATAGAATGGAGTGCGTAGGTAAATGGAACTTGTTAATATGCATTTCTACAATTTATGGTTAGATGTGTTATTTCTACCCATAGAATGGAGTGCGTAGGTAAATGGAACTTGTTAATATGCATTTCTACAATTTATGGTTATATGTGTTATTTCTACCCATAGAATGGGGTACATGGGTGAATGGAACTTGTTAATATGCATTTCTACAATTTATGGTTATATGTGTTATTTCTACCCATAGAATGGAGTGCGTAGGTAAATGGAACTTGTTAATATGCATTTCTACAATTTATAGTTATATGTGTTATTTCTACCCATAGAATGGAGTGCATTGGTAAATGGAACTTGTTAATATACATTTCTACAATTTATGTTAATATGTGTTATTTCTACCCATAGAATGGAGTGCATTGGTAAATGGAACTTGTTTAAATATGCATTTCTACAATTTATGGTTATATGTGTTATTTCTATCCATAGAATGGGGTACATGGGTGAATGGAACTTGTTCTACAATATGTGAACAGAACAGGACAAGACAATGTACTAGTGGAACATGTACAGGTGACGCTTGGGAGGTTACAAGTTGTGATTATGGAAACTGTGTCATAGAAGGTTTGTCAAGTTTACTTTTTATCGCTTTTTCATAGTTGTTGACCTATTAATGACTATGATTTACCCTATGAACATGATGAAAAGCTTTGAAGGTTAAAACTTCAACCTTATGTCGTTGAAGATCATTTTGATAGTTTGAAACAAACAAACGGATGAATTTAAAACCAGAAAATAAAATCAGTTTTAAACTGGAGCGAAAAAGAAAGCAAACTGATATTCATAGTTTAAATGTACAATAAACTCCATTTAAATGTTACCCACTGTCACAGGTTATTGGAGGGGTGGGCACCTGCAAACACGCTTAGCCCCGCCACATTATGTATGTACATGCCCCAAGTCAGGTGTCTGTAATTCAGTGGTTGTCGTTCGTAGCTGTATATCATATTTGTTTTTTTGTCAGTTTTCTCGTTTGAATTGCTTGCATTTGTCATGTCGGGGCCTTTAAAGCTTACTATGTGGTATAGTTGAAAGCCGTATGATGACCTTTAGTCGTTAACTTCTACGTCATTTTGGACTCAAGTGGAGGAAAGTTGTCTCATTGGCAATTACACTACATCTTGTTTTAATATTTAAGGTTTCAACAACATTTTAATGTATTTTTTAACATGTTACAGAATTATAAATGACGAAAGATGACTCAAAACATCAACTTTGACAGGTTTTGGAAAATTTTGAATATTGATCCCGTAATCAATAGAACAAAACCACTATTATGTTGGAAGAAGAGATTTATTTTAAATTTTTTCTAATTCAGTTAATTCATTTTGGTTAAAGACGTCCTCCCATGCAAAATTTTACAGTAGAGATTTATTTATATTTTTTTTCTAATTTAGTTAAATCATTTTGGTTAGAGACGTCCTCCGATGCAAAACTTTACAAAACTATGTTAAATTTTCAATAATGTCTTCAAAAAGTTAATATGCAGCGTTGGGAAAAAAAACATTTATATCTAATTGAAATAGGCGAAATTGTTGATAATTTGTGTGAGACTATTATTTAACTCTTTAAAATGAAAATAACACTTTATACATTGTATGTGTACGAGGCGCTTTTCGTGATTGCCATTCATCAGGGTCGCTCAGAGATATCCATTTGACGTGACTCTGTGCTTATGTATCCCGTCATACTTTGAACGACAAAATTATTTTATTTATTAATATTACTTTTACTGTTGAGTCTGGTTTTTTTGTGATATACATTTGACATGACTCTGTACTTATGTATATCGTCATACTTTGTACCACACAATTATTTTATTTTATTTATTAACATTACTTTTACTGTTAAGTCTGTTTTTTTGTTATATCCATTTTACGTGACTCTGTATTTATGTATCCCCTGTTACTTTGTACGACAAAATTATTTTATGTCTACATGTGCGAATTTCAAACGCGCAATTTTACGCCAGTACTTAAAACCTTCCATCCTTTATGGGTGGATTTTACATAGATAAAAAAAAATCGTATAATATAAGCAAAATGAGGATTTTAAATTTGATGTATGCCTTTTTGTGCTTCTTCGTTACATTTGTTTGTTTTTATAGTGATTAAGATGATAACACAATGTTGACTGCTGTACCCCTATTTTTGACATTTTTACCTATTGTGTCTGTTTGTTTTGTTCACGCATCGTTGTCAATATAATGGAATTTGATGCGACTGTCATACAAGTGAGAGGTTTAGCTAGCTATAAAACCAGGTTCAATCCACCATTTTCTACATAAGAAAATGCCTGTACCAAGTCAGGAATATGACAGTTGTTATCCATTCGTTTGATGTGTTTGTTTTTTTGATTTTGCAATTTGATTGGGGACTTTCCTTTTTGAATTTTCCTCGGAGTTCCGTATTTTTGTGATTTTACTTTTTTCAAAACAAAATATTTGAACACCAAGGATGTATAAGTACCGAAACACGTATTTTAGCATTTAGATTTAGTATTCGAATGCTAGTGTATTTTTAAAAAAAATTAAGATTTTGAGTGAACATCATAAAAAGTTTTTTCATAAAAATAAAATACATTAATAGAGATATTAATTTTATTCGTTTGTCTAGTATTTTACATGACTCTGTCGTTCAAAACTTTATACCTCCATATTGTGATAGCATGATAGAGCCACCTATAATTTCTTATTCGTAAATAAAAACCAGTAGAAGTTTAATTTCTAATTATACGTCAGTTACATCAGACGTCAGTATAGTAAATAATGCTCCTTCCACATGAGACTGTGAAACATCAAAGTTTAGTTATGATCCCTATGGCCATGTAATTACAGAGGACCTCAATATCGTCCAAGACCGAGAGGTTATAAACTTCTGAAAAAGGACCAAAATATCGTCCACCGTTGAAAATAAATTGGGAAGAGTGTCGTCAGGTTATTAATGATGCTCTTTCATCCTATGGTGTAAACGGGATAAATCTGACAAAAAGTCACTTGATTCCTATTTGAATAAATGTTTAAATATTGTTGATATTCGCATACACATTTCGAAAATGATTAAGAAATAAATAAAAGAATAACTAAGACGCCCATTTCTAGGATTAAAAAACAAAATTCAAGTACTCGCAAAGCCTTTTGTGTTCGTACCGGCCGACAAAGCAGCCAACAATGTGGTGGTGGTATGACGTAAATACTACACGGAAGTCCTTACGAATGAAATAATACATTCAACTACATTCAAGGCCGTACGCTTCACTGAGAGTCATATAGTAAATAATCATGTCACAACCACAGCACAGCTTAAAGCCTCTTCTGAACATTTGAAGGTCACCACTATGTATTGGTTACCTAAACTACACACAAAAAAAACCCGTAAAATATCGTTTCATCTCGACCTTTATTAAGTGTTATACTACTAGAATTTCAGTGCTTTTAGCGAGTTCCTTAACTACTATCAAAGACATGATCATTAATTTTTTTAATAAAACATATGAAAATAGTGATTTTAACCTTTTTTGGAGTGTAAAACATTCTTTGGATGTTTTAGATAAATTACGGGCTTTAGGTGGTCCTTTTGATTCGGTTGACGGTTTTGACTTTTCACTCTTTACACTACACTTTCACATAATCCTATCAAGCAAAAGTGTTCCTAATTAATGAAATTGTCGTTCGATAAATCTAATTGCAAATTTATTTGCTGCAACTCATATAAAGCCTTTTTCTCAAACGAGAAAGGTAAATATGCTAGATATACTTACTGGAGGTGTGATGAGATAAATCCATTGGATGTAAGATGTGTGCTGATTGATATTTTAGTCTTAGATACATGCTTTTTTTATTAGTTATTGGCCTTGAACTAGCTGTCAGTATCTGCGAGTACTCTCAGATCTGTACTTAGTGTCCTTTTTGTTGTTAGGGATGAAGGCTAGATAAATACCCTGCCACGTCCAGTCTGTGTTTAATGTTTTTCTGATTCCATCTGATGAGTTATGCCTTTTCCAACTGATTTGTATAGTTTGTTCTTATCTTGTGCTGTTTCACCACTGTGAGGTTAGGGGAGGGTTGAGCGCTCACAAACATGTTTAACTCCACCACAATCTGTATGTGCCTGTCCCAAGTCAGGAGCCTGTAGTTCAGTGGTTGTCGTTTGTTTATATCTGTCATATTTGTTTTTCGTTAATTGTTTTGTAGTAAATTAGGCCGTTATAGTTTTCTCAATTTAATTGTTTCATATTTTTCATATCGGGGCCATTTATAGCCTACTATACGGTACTATACGGTATGGGTTTTTTCTCATTGTTGAAGGCCGTACGGTTGCCTATTATTGCTTACATCCACTTTATTTGAACTTTGGTGGATAATTGTCTGCAGTTTGAACAATCCCTTCTGTCTTTATTTACTAAATAAAGTATCAAGGGATAGTTGTTCAATGTTAATTTCAATTCAAACAATCTCAGTATTTAATTTGTGTATTTACACTGGCTATTATCTATAATCAGATAGATATCTGTATAGGGAATTAGGAGATAGATCATATCAAACTAAGACTAAGTTTTACTGAATGCGTTAGTCATTTATAATTTATGACTAATATTGATGGAATGATCAAGCTTATACTTTTATTTCAGATGCAGCTTGAGAGATTCTATTTTATCTGTACATGCTTTAAAGTTTGCTCAATTTTACCTATTAAAAGGGTTCGTACCCTTTTAGAGTGTTTATGTACTAAACACTTTTTCTAAGTAGCAGTTTGAATAACATTCTTCAAACTATAATAGACAGGGGAAAATTTAAGTCCATTGATACATAAATAACTAATTGAAACAATTTCCGAAAGTACCATTTGCTTTTAAATTATTATTTTTTTAACACGTGTAGTTTTTTTAGAATTTGCATATTAATAAAAAAAAAAAAGTCCGTTGATGAGTATCCTTTTATTGCGCAGTCCGTTGGGAGTAAAAGTTGCGTCACAGGCTTCAGAACATCAGTAGATCAAATGTTCCGAACACATATGACTTTTAAAATGGGTATATATAAATTATGAACTAGCGCTTAATACAATTAAACTGAATTTTGATATAGTGGCTTACATGTACCTTGGTGTTGCATGCATTGATTTTGTATTAGATGATATCTCTAGGTAAACTAATAGCAATAGAGTCAGGTATGGACCTGTCCAATATCTGTACAGGCTAATAAGAAAAACAAAGTAGTATACTCCTCTTTACCACCATTTCTTTATTGCTTCAATGTTGGCACTGTTTGTGAATACAATTCAAAATTAAAGGGACTAGTTTATTTTAATATAGACTTTTTGGAATTTACCTTGAGAATATACCGAGGTCCACAGGACCCAAAGAGAATTAACTTTTTCAAGATTGTATAATTCTGATTTGATATAACTTTTCATAAAAATCACAACTGTATTTATTGGTATTGCACTAAATATGAAATAATGCTACTTTTGTTGCATGTTTTGTGTTTCATAGGATTTTAGTTTTTAGAATATATTTAAATCAAAACTTCATCTGAATCGTGTGGCAATGTCTATAAATCGACAAAA